ATTGCGGAGCAGTGTTCCCCCCTTTACGCCATAGAACGCATGTTTATTGCTTGTGTTTGTCGGGGTATTTAAAGCATTACTCCCTAGGAACTGCAACATCAATCCCACATTTACTATAAAATAAACCTGCATTCAGCAGACACCTCTGTTAAGCGGTTGTGGACACCAATATTAAGCCATTTTGTTGCACAAAACCTGCAATAAGCGGACACTTCAAGGGCATTTTACTTCTAAAGGTTCAGCTGAGACTCCTTTAACATTGTTCAGCGATGTTGTTATATAGCTAAGTGATTATTCCAGATTGATGCATTGATTGACTGGGCATTATACTTTGCTAGTCTTTGATCGTACAATGTGTTACAAAAGAGTTAATAATTAAGTATTATTGCACAACATATTAGACCCTACTTAGAGCGGACACCCTGTATTAATTGGACACTTGTGAGGGTCCCAAGGGTGTCTGCTTAATACAGGTTTCACTGTAATCAGGCAAGAGTTGGCGAACTCTTGAACAATTTTTTTTTGTGGCAGTGAATATTGTCCTACTATTTGCATTCTAGGTCGAGAACCAGAACGACTGGCTGAAGAAAAGGCTCAGATTTTGGAACAGACTGAACACTTGGCTTTTCATAACTACAAGACATTTATCAAAACAGCAGAATGTTCCAAGGAGATTTTCCATGATGTAAGTCAAAAAAACCTAAGCAACTTCAGATTTAGTCAGTTCTTGGAGAATATTGTAGAGGTATCATTTAGTGCTTATTTCTCTGGCTTTATAAGATGTGAATAGATTATGCAAAATGTCCCAGAATCCAAAGTGGTCAAAGTTGCTTATTGGAGTGGTCGCTTAGGAGAGCTTTTCATTACAAAATTTAAGTCAGAGTTCAAACAGGGTTTGACCAAGGTGGTCGTAACTAGAGCTGGTCGCTTACAAGAGTGGTCGCAAGGAGAGCTTTGACTGTACAATGATTGTATCAATGGCATGCAATAAAAGAAATAATTGTTGATGCTATATTCTGCTTACTGGGTGTTATTAGCAAAGAATTTAAGACTATTACGAATCAAATTTCACAACAATGTTGCCCTCAGCAAGTAGCAAACACAGTCATGATTTGAGAAACTGGTGAACCCAAAGTATTTTTCCATGTATTAGAATTCCAAGGTACAATAATAAAAAAAGTATTGGTCCAGGTATTAGAATCCCAAGGTACATAATAAAAAAGCAAGTAACAGATGGAATTTATCCGTGCAAAGATGTATATGACAGTGATCTTTTCTTGTAGTTTATGTCAGTGGAGAAGCACGTTGAATCCTTGCTGGACAAGTTACCAACATTTTCAGAAACATGTAGCAATTTCATGAAGGCAGCTCAAGATATAAACACCAGGTAAAACCTTGGGGCCAGTTGTTCAAAGGGTGGATAACACTATGTATCCACCATATAAATCACTATCCAGTGGATAAGTGTTGTCAATTGGTGAAACAAACCATGCTATCCACTAGATAGTGATTTATCCAGTGTATAGTACTTATTGTACATCCTTTGAACAAATGGGACCTGTAGTCCTAAGTGTGTTCCTGATGTAGTTGATAATAGTGCTGTTTTTGTTTTCACCTGCAGTCGTCATTTAAATTCTCTAACGTTAGCACGTCACACTCAGTTGCTGGAGATACTGGAAATCTCACAGGTGAGTCTGATGATTACTGTACCTCTTAGCTTTAATATTTTAGCACTGAACACTGTATATTTATACCAAAGTGTACTCATCTAAATTTACAGCTTAATATGAGTATTCTGACTGCTTGCTACCCAGTTACTAACAGCATAACAGTAAGCCTGTAGAAAACTAAAAGAAACTGACAAATCAAATTCAGTCCTTTCAGTATGACAGCACTAAAGTGTACAATAGGATAAAGAAATTTGTCCAACTCTTGTATGAATCTTTCAACTGACTACAATCAATAGTTTTAATACACATAGTTTTCAATGGGGTTTGAGTGATGAATGTTCTTATTTGATTCTGTTCACAGCTTATGGACTCGTGTGTGCGAAATGGTTACTATGAAGAAGCTTTGGAACTTTCATCGTATGTTCACAGATTGGAAAAGAAGCTGTCTAATATCCCCATTATTCAAAACATTGTAGAAGTTGTCCAGTCATCAACTAAGCTGATGCTCTCTCAGCTCTTGCAGCAGCTGCGTTCAGCTATCCAGCTGCCTGCTTGTTTACGTGTAATAGGATACCTCAGGAGACTTGATCTGTTTTCTGAATCTGAGCTAAGGATCAAGGTATGTGACAAAGTTCATGTTTACTCCTTCAGTTGAGGAAGTCTTATCTGTAAAGGGTGTAAAATAAATATTCACTTTTAATTATTTTAATGGTTGGTATTTCAGTTATCAGCAGTTTGATATGCAAATAAGATGAAAAGGTCAATTGTACTTTGTGTTGACCCTTTCACTTTGTTTGTATGCCTTTTTTAAACAAAAGAACATTTGACCACAGAGCCAACTGCAATAACAGCTAGAGTACTAGAAACAAATAAATATAATAATTTTATGTTTTAGGTCAATTTGTTCTTTAGGTCAGAATGATTGCAACCTTGTTTCGACCTACAATCCTGGTCAAAAGTCTTTTGGCAATTTGCAATTTTCATAACATACATGTATAGTCTTTCTGCCACCTCTTCCTCCCCACCCGGAACGCAATGTTGATTCATCCGAAGTCAACCNTGGCCTCCCCACCCCCAACACAATGCTGATGTTGATTCATCCAAAGTAGACCCACTATTCCAGCGTTGTTTTGGGGGGATGGGGGCTCGGCAAATTAAATAATGGCTTCCCACTTCAAAACAATGCGTCACCATTTTGTCAAGTGTCCCAAGGACTTTTGGCCAGGATTGTAGTTAAAAATTTTCAAACCATTTTTATTTTTTATTTTTTTTCACTTTTTGCACATTTCTTAAAAAGATAACATTCACACCATCTACCCCCATCAGTTCCTAACCCTACCATACCCTGCCAGGACCCCTTATCAACCCCTCTAACCTGAACCCTAACCCTTTACGGTAACCATTGTATTTTTTATGCCATGTGATAAATCCTTCAGCCAAGATGGCCGGATGTTGGCCTCGTTCTTTATTGTGTGTCTATGGGCCTTGATTGCATCTCAGCTCATAACCACCATTGGTCACTTAGACCAATATTCAGCCATCTTGACCTCTCTGTAGTTCAATAACCTATGAACATGTATTATGATTAATGTATGACACCTTTTTGCTCACAGTTCCTTCAGGCCCGTGATGCATGGCTGCAAAGTGTTCTGGCTTCGATTCCTTCAGAAGACCCTTATTATCACATTACCAAGACAATTGAAACCAGCCGTGTGCATCTGTTTGATATTGTTACACAGTATCGAGCAATATTTTCTGATGATGATCCAATATTGTCAATGGAAAATGAAGATAATCCAATTTATAGTAACCTGTTCCACTGCTGGATTGTGCAGAAGGTATGGACTCAATAAATGTCATAAACATGACTGAGAAATACATGTACATGTATTTCTTCTGAGAGAATTGAAGTTTATATGTAGTGTAGTATACTATAGTATAGCAAAGCATAGCATAGCATAGCATAGCATAGTATTTTGTCTGATTGTTTCATAAACAACTCGTAAGATTTCTTGCCATAAGCCATGAGACCAACAAATTAAACAAGACCAACAAGTTAAATGCTCTTTTGCATGACTACAGAATAAAACAGAACTATGTGACTACTTCCATGTAGCATGAAGATGTCACAGCATAGTCCGTATATACAATGTGCTAGGTGTTTCTGTGTTAAGCTGCTGTTGAAATTAAATTTCTTAATATAAATCCATGATTATGGTTACTTTTTATTCATACACATGTATAGGTTCAGCAGTTTTTGAAAACTTTAGAGAATGACCTAGAGCGTGGAGTTGGGTCTCGTCTTGACTCACTGCTGGGTCAGTGCATGTACTTTGGACTGTCATTCAGTCGAGTAGGAGCTGACTTCAGGGGACTGCTTCCTCCTCTCTTCCACACTGCTGCCCTTCGGTCGTTCAATACAACATTGCACAATGCCACCGCCAGGTTTGTGTTCTTTCATGCTTCATAATCTTAGAGCCACCTTAAAATATGCAAATATGTCCCCTTGCATAAACTGTCGATTCCAATCCAGTCCTAAGGATTGGAGGAACCAGATTATTCATTGATGGTAGCACTTGACTATGGCTTCTCCCCCTGATGGGATGCCAAGTCCATCAAAGACTACTTTTCAACCCTTTAAAGGTTGTCCCAACATTTCACCTGTATTCAAATCAAGTTATGTTGTGGTGGTTGCTATCAGAGGATCGCAATCTTCACCAAGTATTAAGCATATTGAGACCGGGGTTTCTGTGATCTTCTATGACTGGGAAAGGGTGTTTGGGAGGGGTTTGGAACCCCACTGAAACTTTGAATTTTGTTGCAAAGTTTGTAGCTTTTACTTAAATATTGAAGACGTTGTAAAGGGTTTGAATCAATGCAGGCATCCCCCCTCCCCTTCAGTCTGAATAAGGTCAACAACCACTGCTAATTATCGTCACTTTTAGCGAGTTATTACTTTCAGAAAGGTATTGCAATTTGAGGTGGTAGTAATTTTTGTCAGAGTAAACTAAATGAGTCAAACTGTCAACTTATACACCTCTAGCTGAATATTTGTTTCTTACATGTGAGCCACAAAATGTCTTTTTGTGTGTGTGTGGAATAAAGGTTTAACGAAGCCATGAAGTCGTACTCACTCCAGCCAGTTCCTTCTACTGTCACATCCACAATGCTTTCCACAGCGACAGCAAAGGTAGCTGAATTCTGTTGTTGTCTTGTGATCTTTTTTCTATTATGATCTAATGACATAAGCAGTTTTTTTAGGTGGGTTAGTGGAATATATCTGCTTATTATTATCCAACTGCAGCGAATACCGTCCAAATAACAGTACAGTTCAGTTCAGTTCAGTACAGTGCAGTGCAGTGCAGTGCAGTGCAGTGCAGTGCAGTGCAGTGCAGTGCAGTGCAGTGCAGTGCATTACAGTACAGTACAGTACAGTACAGTAGAAAACCTCTTTGCCGTACAGGTCGGCGCACGCTCGGAAAACTTTCACGCTCTCCCTCTTTCATTGATAAATTTATTGACTACAGCAGTTGGATAATAAATCTCTTATTAGATGTTTTGGTGTGTCTTATCGCTTTATATTTTTACTCGTTGTTTGTATTATCTCGTCAAATACGGCACATCTCGTAAAAATATACAGCGATACTACACACCAAAACATCTAACAAGATGTGTATTGATGTATTACATATGTCGCACCATTAGTTAGACACTTTCAGAACAAAATATGTTTTCTCTTTTTGTAACGTTTATTTACAACGTTTTAAAAAAATCTATGGAGTGATTTTCAGAATTTTTGTAAAACCTCTCAAAATGGAAAATTACCTGAAAATTGTTCTGGGAGTGATCTTAAGAAAAAAAAAACATTTCGTTCTTTGGATCGCAAGAAAGAACATCAACAAATTTTTCATGGCGTAAAAACATAACTTTTAGACACATTTTGGGTATGCTTTGGTTCATCTTTCAGTCCGTACATTATTTCCAAAATCTACGGCTGAGAATGTTAACGTACAGAATTGTTTTATTCTTGTATAGTAAATCTGGTTCGCACAAAATTCACGTTTTACTGATCTCGTGTTTTTCTGGTCATCGTTTTCATAGTTATTGCAATTGCCCTAAAAATACATTATAGCAAACTTCAATCTAATTCTAATTACTAGTGTAATTTTCACGTCGATCTGATTAAGGGGGGACTGGTCAGCTAAGAGCTTCTCTCCTCCCGAGAGGTTTGGGCGAGTGTTGTAAAAACTGTTGCACGAAAAAAACCCTTTGTGCCTGTGCGAAGGACAGAGGTTAAAAGTTGATTAAAAATATTAGATGTGATCCGGAAAATATGTATGGAGATACGTTAAACAGGTGGAGGGCAAGTAATACCTTGAACGCAGTGTTGGGTTAAGCATATACCTTGATGGAAAAAGATCATATAAAGTGATGTTTTGTTTACAGCCCGAAGAGCTTTATCCTCCAATTGAATTGCTGCAACATCCTCCTCTGGCAACATTCACTAACGACGTGCTCACAGCATTCAACGGACTGAGGCACTGTGTCCCGCTGTCTTTGGTGTCAGCGGTTACCGATAGTGTCCAGTCTGCACTCAAGGTTATCATACAAACTACATGTACCTTTCATAGGTAAGCTATTAAACCTTCTCTCGGACATTGTTAAAAAATACAAGGCTAGAAATCTGTTTACAACCAATACCTTACTAACTTCATCATCAAGAGACCATGGTCGTAATACAATAACTGAATCTAATTTAAATGGTTTACTGAATTTATTTGACAGGTTTAGCGTGGATAGCTCTTTGTGATTCACCCTTTATTACAAAACAAACAGTATATTTTAGATTACCGTTAGTTATCCGAAATGGCTTTGGCTTTGCTTTATTATGCTCTGCGCTTTGGAAAAAATGGCCACTAGCTACATCTACTTTACCAGTTTTAAGCTGGCCACTTCATCACAAGTGTCTTCCCGGTCTTAGCGTCCGTTACGTATATTTGCTTCAATTTCTATCGGTTTATTGTGTCGTTGACGTTCATGATAATTGTCCACTATAACAATTGCTTTGTTCTTGGTTAACAACACTCAGTAGAAACCCACTCCAAGTAGGCCAAGGTATACTATCTTTATGAGACGCGCATGCGGAGAAAAAGAGCAGTTGTATTCAACAAAACCAGTCGAAAATGGATACTTCTTGAAGAAAAACTGCTATTAATAATTGCTTGAGGGCGCGTCTCACAAGAGAAATTGGGCATTGTTAGCTTCATTTTGTAAAAATTTGATTTTCGTTTTTGTTGCAAACCATGTTATGATGTTTCACGAGGTCGCCAAACCTTTTGTGTCTGTTTCACTTTCTTTTACAGAACAGAAGCAGCAGCCCTCAACGAAACAGAAAGAGCCACCCTGGCACATTTTTGTCAAGTGTTAGGAAGACAGCTCCTACCATACATCAGCCGATGTTTAGAAGCCTTGTTTCCGACCTCAGCCTTGAGGGGTTTGAATTGTAGCAGTTCCCTTGATGTTAGCAGCTTGCAGTTACTGTTGGAACCAATCATGCCACAAGAAACCGTACAGGAACAAGACAATCCTCGTCATGATGCTGAGACTGAAACTGCTCAGCAAGAAAAAGAACCAGGAGACCTGGTACTGAGTGAAGAAGTTCCTCCCCAAGACGAATCACGGATAGAAGTAAATGAGAAAATTCCAGACATTGAGCAGCCAGATTTGACTTAAAACTACATTGTATAACGAGTAACGAAATAACATACGGATAAGAGATCCTTAGCTTATCGATAAATCAAACTGTTAGATAAAACTTGTGTAAAGATGGCTTTATTTACTACATTCTGAAGGTCTGGGTCGAATCCAAGGGCACCTGAGTCAGAGATTGAACCGCGCCAGATATGCAAAGATACTCCGACGGGAGAGATTCGTGTACCTCGACCTCGTTCCCAGGGCTCCAAGAGAAAAGCCTTAGGAACGAAGTTGGAAAGGTACTTGAAATTTGTAAGAGTTATATTTAAATAAACCGAGTAAAATATACCAAACAGAGAAAACTGTTGTCAATTTTTTGTATTCCCTTTGCATGTTAATTAGGGAACATTCATAATCCATGGAGTGCTGGGCTATGACGTTATGGTGTGGGGGTCAGCCATTTTCTCGTGTAGCAGTTAGAAGGGGGGAAGGGGGGTTAAAGCCAGAGACCTGGAAATGGGAGCCATAAAGAAATGTCAGCTTACATATTAGTACTCTTCCAGTGGAATGAGGGCTCTTAGAGCTTTAATGTAAGTCTACACATATCATTGGACAGCAGATTTCAAGTCCCTCTTCCGGTTAGTCCGTCGTACGTGACACGAAAGAAAACCGCAAGAAAAACAAAATGGCCGCGCGAACTCCTGGTGGCGAGAAGCACGCGAAAGTAGGATTTTCACGCGGTCATTTTTTCCTCGCGGTTTATGTAGAGTCTCTCTACGGTCTCACTCCACAGACTAAGCGAAAGAGGGACTACTTGTAATCTATGCATAGGATAACACCACTATGTATACCACACCGTAGAACACGAATACTGAAAACTCTGAATGCTTCACCCTAAACCCTTCAGAGGTCTGCACCTGGTAAAGTGCTTATGCTTTAGCCACCAAATGAAAATAGGATAATGCCATTGAACACAGAATGCATATAGCTACATTTTGTTGCTCGAAAATGCCTTTAGTCGATATTCCTCTTACGTTTGGGAGTGGAACTGAGCACAAAAATTAACAGTAACCTGTTTCATCAGGTTGGGATGTCCGCTATTTCTTTGGTTGTCTGTAAGTGGAAGATCTAGGAGAGGTTGCTTGGGGGACCGACCACCGCCTCGTCCCCAAGGCAACTCCCACGTATTATTTCAGTTTCAATGAGAACAATATCCTCAATAACAGCAGAAATCTATGGCTACTATGACTGCTACTGGCTACGCATGTCCAAATTATGTTTCCTTTAAAGGATTAAAAAATGCAGGGTACTTTAAGACATTTGTCCTGGGACGTAGATGAATAAACAATCAAAGAAAGTCAAACTGTGTGACAAAAAACACGCTGCAATGAAAAATAATCGAGCTTCTTTGTTGCGCACGGAGGTTACCAAAAGTCAACTGAACATGGCGTGAAAAAAAGCACGGTGAC